ATCAACAACAGGGCCTTGGATTTTTACTTGATCGAGAGGATCCGCACAATGCAGCATTCAACTCCTTTTGGCACTCCAAAAAGAGCGCAGAATTCACTATCTGGACAAACCTTCTCTGCGGCGAGTCATTCATTGCCACTGATCAACAACCATTTCCAACCAGTCCTCGAGCTTCAATTCTGGCTGATGACATGGGGCTTGGAAAATCAATTCAGACTATAGCACTGATTGCACATACTCTCCAAGCAGCATTCAGTTACGAGACGAATTATCAAAAAGAAAACCCCGAAAGTCAACTTAGAGGTTCACATACCACTTTACTCATCTGTCTCAAGGGGCTTATGGACAATTGGGAACGTGAAATCAAGCTTCATACAAGACATAAAAATGCACTATTAATGCACCATTCATGTGGAAAAATGCAGCATCAATGCAGTAAAATGCAGTGTTAATGCACACACAAAATGAATTCAGAATTCTACCTTTTTCAATTTTGTTTGTCCTTCAGGTCAATCATTTTTCACTTGGGAAAAATACTACATCTGCCCAGTGACAGTAAGTGTATCTATTGGCTTGTAAAATTTCAGTTCAATAACTGATATTCCACTTTGTTTAGTATTATCCGAAATGACAATTTTTCCAGCAGATGTGTCACTGCATTGAAAGCTGTCAATAGATTGTGTCTGACAGGAACACCACTGCACAACAAACTAGGCGACCTTCAGATGATGCTGAGGTTTTTACACGTGACCCCTTTCTACAAGAATTCGGTTTGGGATACACACATTGCTCAACCGGTTCAGCGTGGAAATTTGGCCCCAGTTTCTAGACTTTTGCGATACATTATGCTTAGGAGGACCAAGGATAGTCACATATTTGATTTACCACCCATTAATCACACCACTATTATTTTAGATATGCATAAAGAGGTTAAGGATGTTTATCAAACTCTATATCAGAATTTCTTACGGCAGTTTGGAGTTGAAAGGAAGCAGAAATTTCAAGGTGGTGAATTTTTCAAACAACTCACCAATCTCCGGATGACTTGCAACCACCCTCTTTTATTCAGGCAAAATGAACAGGGTGTTGATGCAGAAAATCAACCCATTAATCTCATTGAGCAAAAACTGGGTATAAAATTACCGGATGAAAGAATTCATAACAGCAAGGTAAGAGATGCTATTCCAACGGACTGGAAGCTTAGCCCAAAGATTGCATACTTGGTTCACATGCTTCAGAAGAAAAAATCACATGGTGGTGGGAAGAGTGTTATATACACTCAGTGGAAGAGCTTTATTGATTGGTGAGCTTCGTCAAAACCTAGCCCCATTATATCATCAAATAGCTGACTTCATTCCCAGGATCATCATGGCTTTTGACAACTCTGGCATCACATACCGTCAGCTGCATGGGGACCAGTCCACCTTTGAGCGTACTTCTCAACTCAATTCTTTCACCAAGGACCCAAATGTTGAAGCATTTGTAGTATCAATAGAGGCTGGTGGGGTAGGTTTGAACATGACATGTGCGGACGAGGTCTATTTGATGGTAAGTCAGGCTTTTACATTGGATCTGGGAACACTGATGGAGCAGTGGCGTATCTTCAGGATGCACATTGGAACCCTCAGGTAGTGCAACAAGCCGTGGACCGCCTTCACCGAATTGGTCAGGCCAAGTCTGTCAGAGTATTTCATGTAGTTACTGGACAGTCAATTGAGCAGCATCTTTACAATGTGAGTGTAACAACAAATCCTGTGAGTGAATGTAGCCCTAACACCTAGCTCTCACTTGTTCCAGGTTCAGAAGAGAAAAGCTGCCCTGGCAAAAAGAGTGATTACATTAACTGTCCCTACAGAGGAATTGGAGAAGGCTGAAGCACTGCGTGTGGAGGAGTTTCCAACAGGGGATGTATCAGATTTGGGAGATCCCAATCAATGCTACCGCAATTAAGATCTAACATATGGGATGCTGGTTTCTGCAACCTTTTTGTAACTGTCTCTATCAAGTCTCTTGTTTCTCAAAAGATAAACCAATACACAAGCGGTTTTCCTGATAAAGGTTGCTTACCATAATAACATAAATGAATTTTGGTTTGTAAGGTTTCAATTTGTGCATTTCAATTCAAAGAGCTCAATTTAAGAGAAATTCATTAAAGCATGTTTCCAATTCTAGTATGTTGAGCTAGTGACAAATAAAGCGCCTACAAGAACAAATCAATTTGATTTTAATCACTAATTAAATACCACATCGGATTCACCTGGCTGTGGTGCAAAGGGAGTACCAGTCCAGTCATACTGTCTCAACCTTTCTAATACAAAATTGAAAATCTCCCAAACATTCGTAGTTCTCAAATCATCATAATCAAACTCCATGTCAGACATGACTTTGTCAACTACATCCGCAAACCACTCAGGTGTCTTAGTCCATAATCTTTCTTGATCTGGATAATCCTCCTCAATGATCTGATCAACTTTATAACTGGGAACTCCTATCAAGTAATCTGTGCCAGCAAACTCGTCACCTGGGTTGTAATAGCAATAGTTAGCACTACATCCGGTTGGTAACCTAGAGCGGTTGTCTCTACGCCTTTGAAAATTGTTGGCATGGTCTTTGTAGGTGTCTAAAGCTTCTTGTATGGCGGGTACGTAGAGCTGGAGGAACAAGAGTCCAAAAGAAAGATGAGTTAGTACAAGAGCTACTCAAAGAAACACAAATCACAAACTCACCTTTGCATTGGATCATCAGGATCATAATCACCATCCGCAATCCTTTGAGCAATCTCATCTTTCAAGTGACCAGTCACTGCATTTTGCATCTTCCCCCAAGCAGATTCAATCTTAGTATTACTAGTAGAGGGAACATATCTATGGTACTGGAAACCAGGGGGTTCAGTGCCGTATTGCTGTCCAAAGTACATTTGATGGCCAGCAAGGTCGATGGTCTCAGTACCTCGGTCAGTGGTGAGTTTTTGAGGGATGCCTCCGTGTTTCTTGACAAGTTCAAGATACCATAAATCAACATGTCGTGGGTCACTGTTGGTGACATGAGCATGGAGACCCAAGAGCTTCCGAGACCAGCAGTCGATGAAACCGTAGATTCCAATTCCGTAAGGCATCAATTTGTCGTGTCCGTCAGAAGCCCAAACCTGGTTAGGACCACCCGCATAAATACTGCCGCCTTTTCAGTTTGTGAGCCGCTCAGACTTTGACCATGTCAGGATTGATCACTTTTCAGAATGGCCGATATAAC